GACAACCAATGTGATGCAATTATATAACTCAATATCTTCCCACCCGTGTAACACGATATTAATATTCATACATGGACTTTAATATAGACTTAAGAAATGTAAAAATGAAATTACCAATAGATTGATTTTAATACTACATGAAAGGGGATAAGGCACAAATATCCCCTAAACTATGGCCGCAATCCCATTGTAGGGCCTATTTGGCTTAGGAGGTTGGCTTAGTTGTGAACTGACCCTTCTGAGTAGTAGTTGGGAGATTGCTTTCGCCCGTTTAGTCTTTTGGATTCGTCTGCTTCTTGTGGTCTTGGCGGTTGGTTATTGCTAGCTGCAGTGGCGGATCCAGAAATTTTGTATCTTGGGTGGTCAACTATTTTTATCTCGAAAATTGCTACATATAATGGGTGCTCAGTTAATATATTTCAATGAATTACTAAATTATGTACATAAATAATAATGTTGTCACAAAAGGCAGTAGGTGCTTAAGCACCCATAAGTCACTACATAGGTCAGCCACATGCTAGCTGGAAGGTGGAGGTGTGATCCCTTGTTGTGCCTGGACTAGTTGTTGTGTTGGTTCTTTGTTGTTTCGCTTATATCCCTCAAGGCGAGTGTATGATTTAGAGTCGGAAAGGTGATGCTCATCGGTGATTTCAGGCCTTAGCCTTGTCGGGAAATGAAAACTTGCTAAGAAGATTCATCTTCACGATAGGGTCATGGTAATTTGTGGGATTTTGGAGTTGGCTCTAGTTTAGGATGCATGGTTTGCTTTTATCCTTCTTGGTAGCTTGCATGGTTCGTGGTAGGGTTGGTACATTGGGCCACTATCAGCCAGTTAACTATGTTGATACACCGCCTTCCGGCTTGGTTTCCCTTAAAATGGGGTGTTTGACTCGAATTTGCAGTGGCAGAGCAGTTTGTGAGCTCATGGTGTCAGTGTTTCAGAAGTTCCTTTGGTTGGAGTAGGTCACTGGTGTGAGGCTCAATGCTACCTTGTCGTTCACATGATGATCGTCATTTGGATTAGTGTGGTTAGATTTAGAAGGTCGTGTTTCAGATGGGTTTGTTGGTTTTGAGGGTTAGAAATGGATTTTGGGGTTTTGCCTTGGGCTGAGTTCCTTGTTTGGGCAGTTGTCATTCCTCGATGTTTGGGAGAAGCATGTTGTTCTTCTAAGGTTGATGTTGTGTGGGCTTGTAGGAAGGTTTCAATTGGTGCTGGAAATGTTTAGGATAACTAAGGACCAATAAAACGCTTTTGGTGGTTAGAAGATGTTAGATATGGAGCGTAAGGTTAGTTTTTTTATTTGGGAGTTGTGTTGCATCTACCATGGTCTTCCGTTTGCTCAATTATGTTGTTTTAGGGTGGTGTTTGCTTTTCAGATGAATCTGGTTCTTTTAGGCAAGTCCAGTTCAATTGGGTGAGAGTTTGAGACCAAAATGAATTTGGAGGAGTTTTTGGTGTTTTGAAGTAAATTTGAGGATTTTCCTCTTAGCTAAGTTTCATGATGGCATTGTTCGATCCGAGAGGTTGTCCAAGGGTCTGGTGGAGCATGCGGCCTCAGTATCCTCGTCTTTTTGTGCCTTTAGGCTTTGTCTGCCCTTCTACTTTCGCGGACGAAATTCCTTTTAGTAGTGAATGTTGTAATGACCCTTCAGGTTATTTTCTTCATTTTTTTTCAGTATTTAGAGCTTTCTTGTAGCGACCACAAGCCATTTATGACTTGCTGAGACTGACAGTTGATCGTCGGGTCGTCCTTTTAGATTTCATGTAATTTCGAATGGTATTTTTAGGATATTTAGCTTTTCTCTTGTTATTTCATCCTTTCTTGATTCTGTTTGGGCTTATTGTGGTGTTAGAATCCTTAGTTTAGGCTGTGGGTTCGTTTGTGGTGTAGATGATCTCACTTATCCTTGTTAGGATTGATTCGTGATGGCCTTAGACTAGGCTGGACATTAGATTCTTTAGGTTGTGTTTTATCGCCTCATAGTTATAGTTTGCTCCCTTTAGGGCTTGTTTTATGTAATTCTCCTTGCGATGATGCTTGTGACCTTGGTTGCTCGTCATAGTCGTGCTTTGGTCATGATTGTGCTCAAGCTGGGACTGGAGCAATGTGATTGGGGTAGGATATTGTCCCTTTAGTTTTCTCCCCCTTTATAGATTTGAAATCTCTTCTTAATCCCTTTGCTTGTTGATTTGCAGTGGGCATGGTATATCCTTATTGAGCTTATGATTATACTGTTGGGCCCGATGACGTATGTGAGGACTAGTTGGATTCCAGGTTAGTAATATCTACCTTGGTAGCGTGGTTACATCAGTCGTATAATTATTTGATTTTAAGTGCCTCGTTTGAATGCTGGTGATGGATTGCATTGCATTGTTTGCACATTTTCACGAATTTTGTGGTACGATCTCAGCCCATGCATTGACATATTTATCAAGTATCTTACTCAGCTTTTATTCTAAACTGATTTTAACGGGAGTTATACCACTTGGATCACTTGACTTGGTGAATTTTGAGATTACGAGCATCATGGACATGATCCTTTTTATACTTGAGATATTAGAGGCATTTGGGATGTGCTCAGTTTTTACTTGACTAATCGGCGCGTCGACTCCGTTTCATGCATGTTTTTGGTCTTTCTGGCGCTCTTGGGATTTTACTAATCGGGTAGGCGGCCCCATATTGGTTATTCACGGTTCGAGACCGTTTCTTCCGGTTCGAGGCCAATGCTCATGGTTCGAAGCCATTATTTCTAGTCTGAGGATGATGTTGACGGTTTGAGGTCGTTATTCCCAGTTTGAGGTTGATGTTTTGTGGTTCGAGGTTGTTACCTCTAGTTAGAGGTTTGGATGGTGTTGCTCATCATGCATTCATATGCATTGCCTATCACTAGTATACTTGTTTGTTGTTTGTACCCTCCAGATTATAGGGGTCGGGTGGGTTATGTTTGTTGTTTGTACCTTCCGGGCTTATGAGGGTCCGGTTAGGTTATTGTTTGACTACATTCTGTTCTATGCTATTGTTTTATTGTTACCTGGTGGGTTTTGATGTTAGAATTGTGGTTGTGGGTCCTCCTGACACTGGGTAGTTGACTTGGTATCTTAGTTGCTTGCAATTAGGTTGTTGGCTTGCAATCCAGGTGTGTTCTTGACTCGACTTCTTACCCCTTGTTTCCTATTTCTATTCTTTATTTCTTGGCTTCTTTAGTATCTCTTGTGTTATCTTTGAACTCAGTCGGTCGTTGCTTGCTGAGTACCGTTTTTGGTACTCATACTACACTTCTACCCCCTTCAGATTGTAGTTGATTTATCACCGTTATTTTAGAGTCGTGCGGAGTAACTTGGGATTTCGTAGATTAGGGTGAGCTTCTGGCGTCTGGAGCTACCGGTTTTCGTCTGTTTTGGCTAGGCTTAGTTTTTATATTGTATTCAGAGACATCATGTACTTGCCTTGTATTTGTGAAAGCCTTATACTCTTATTTTGGATTAGATGCTCAATTATTGACTGATGTTAGGTCTTGGAATGGTTCCTATATTGTTTTTCAGTTGATTATCATTTCTTAGCTTGATATAAGCTTTTTGCTTTTTATTGTTGGCTTCTGCTTGGTAGCTCGTTGCTTATGGCTTCAGGCTAAGGGTTAGGCTTACCTACTGGTGGGATGTAGTAGGTGCCGTCATGACCTGAGAAATTGGGTCGTGACAGTTTGGTATCACTAGGGGCCTATTACCCCACTGAACTCATTTGTTCGTATTTTTGTGCACCTTTTGTGCTGATGTGGCACCTTCAACCACCCAAGTTGGTTGTGTTTGTACACACTCCTCTGCCACGTGTATAAATATTATTATTTTTATTTTATTTTTTAAAATTATTTTATTTTCTTTATCTTGTATTTAAATTAAGTTAATACACTTTTTTTTACCTTGTATTGAAACTTTTTTTTACCTCTTTTATTTTTCTATTGATTTTATTTTATTTTATTTTTTAAAATTATTTTATTTTCTTTATCTTGTATTTAAATTAAGTTAATACACTTTTTTTTTACCTTGTATTGAAACTTTTTTTACCTCTTTTATTTTTCTATTGATTTTATTTTATTTTATTTTTTAAAATTATTTTATTTTCTTTATCTTGTATTTAATTAAGTTAATACACTTTTTTTTACCTTGTATTGAAACTTTTTTTTACCTCTTTTATTTTTCTATTGATTTTATTTTATTTTATTTTATTTTTTAAAATTATTTTATTTTCTTTATCTTGTATTTAAATTAAGTTAATACACTTTTTTTTTTACCTTGTATTGAAACTTTTTTTTACCTCTTTTATTTTTCTATTGATTTTATTTTATTTGGCTTTCGTTTTGATTTGATTTCTAATGTGATAATCAAATACAGGAAGAATATTAACAGATTGTCATATTTGATTTTAAAGTTTTAGAGCTTGATCTTAAATCTGAACTATCTGTCATAAACACTTGAGTAATAATAATAATTTGGATTTGCTCAAGCACCATGAACAATTAATTCAAGTTCGCATTGAACTTGATTTAAGGGCTTGATAATTTGGCCATGAAAACTTCGATGTTCATCATCCCTGGAAAAACTTGATGTTCACAAATGAGGATCGGCCAAAAGCTATATTCACTCTCTGGGTTTATCTTATCTACGCGGCCACATGTAGCTATGCATGGAAACTAGTGAGTATTTGTTCTTGGCTTCTCTTTTATTTTTCTATTGATTTTATTTTATTTTATTGGGGGCGTAAACCTGACCACTAGGAGTCAGGGGGCATATCCTTACATTCTAACTTATCAAAATAAAATGAAGGATTGCTCCTCGTTAGATAAGCTTACGAAAATATTCTAGAATCCTTAGAACTAGAGTCTAGAAGCAATGCACTAACTCGAACAAATATAAGAACCTTCATAACATTAGGAACACTCAACTCGAACAGTTTATACAAACGTAAAAAATTTGGAAAGACACTCAAAAAACAAATTTACATCTCCATAGAAGAACCTTCACTTAATACATTTCTATATCAAGTTCACAGGAACTGTCAAACTCTTGCTGTTCCTCACTTGATTAACACTTGTTAAGAATTTTACAAAAAAATTCAAGAACATAAAGGGTTGTGGAACTGCATAAATCATTGCTGACGAACTTCGGTTGAGACAGAGGTGATCAACTCTATGGTACTAGAATTTGGATGTGCAAGAGAAGCTTCAATATCTTTTTCATCCGAAGAATCTACATATTTAAGATATTGTTCGATATCTTTGGTGTCTGAGCTACCAAATTTACTAAGATGCCATATTCCACTTGATTTATGCCTTCTTTCACTAATTGCAATTGAAATGTCATTTGGGAAGAGGTCTCTTAGTACAAAGGCATAGATGATAGTTGTCACAAGAAGCGCAGTTACTGTGAGTGTAGCAAGAGAGCAAAGTATGACGACTAGACACTTTGTGAGAGTGTTGGTAACTACAGCTGAATACCTGATGGTAGCAATAGCAGCTCCGGTCATGGGGAAAGTATACGCCCACCAAGTCAACGAAAACCTGAAGTTAACAAATGACATAAGCTTTTTGAAGTTGAGACAAAGATGTTGAGGAATAAGAGAGGTTTTACAGGACAAAGGGAAATTACACATACCTGATGCCTCGAAAGAAATTAATACGAACAGCCTGTTAAGAGACAAGAATAAACGATTAGGCTGACACTTGAACGTCAAACATTTTCAGAATTAATGTAAGGAATATGATTCTCGTTAAGCTCAGAAACTCGATATCACATCTTATATCTTCAATTATCTATCAAATAGTGAGATAATAACCGTCTTAGTATGAACTCTACAGGAGCCTAGAACTTGAACTAGACTATAAAATGCACGCCTTGCACTGGCTTCAGCATTAGCTGCATTACAATAGAGAGGGTGTATTTGAATGCTAAAACTCTGCCTAGCATAATGACTTACCAGTGAGAAATAAAGGAACAGAGCGATGAAATAAGAAATCCGAGATCCATAATCAAATGACCCTTTGATTGTTGCCCATGCCATAGAAGCAACACTAGGTGCAGCAACAAATAGAAAGAAGACCGGGTGAAGATCCTTTGGCAGTGTCTCATTTGTTGGAAGTCTTTGGTAAAGAGTCACAAACAAGACCACATAATGAGCTAATCCAACAGCATAGAAGAATATTGGGCCTTCTTTTAGTCCCATGGATGCACCTAGCAAAGCACCAACAAAATTTCCAACAACGGAGAGATGATTTACGGGGTTGGCTACCTTTGAGAGCCTTCGTTGTCCTCCAGACATCCATTGGCCGTATATCTTAAGCTCTAAGCAAAAGATTGGGGTCATAAGAATGTACCATAAAACTGTGGGAAGTGTTTTAGTAACTGATTGTGGAACTCCTAATGCTAAGAATAGAAGAGATATCCAGGGAGCAAAGAAGAAGTTAATACGTATGGGGTGATAGTACTCACGACGAACTGCTTCAAAGTAGAAAATGATTTTCAAAGCATAGGTGAAAGCAACAACCGCCATAAGGACCACAGATATGCACCAAAGGACAAGATTTACATCTAAGCTTATGTGGAGGAATTTTGTTGAGGAAGAAGTGGCAAGAGCTTTCCACATAACAGCTTGGCTACTAACACCAAGACAGATACCAAAGGAAGAAATAGGATATCTAAGAAGGAAAGGCCATTTCTTGTCCTCAGGAAGAATACTTTCCTCGGATGCCTGTAAACGAAAAAACATGTGTTACCAACATTACCATCTTGATCTCGGACTAAAAAATAAAGACTTTTCAAACTGCAAGTGCATCCATAATTTCATGATCCACATGTGAGTAATACTTAAAAACTACTATCTTTTTGATCATTTGAAGCAAATTACTGCAGACCACTAAAATGGATGGTGAAACCAAGGAGAAAATCTTACCCGTAGAGTATCCAACTCTGGTCCCTCCAAGGCAGCAAAGTACCGGTCCACAGGAATATTTTCCATCTCTGCAGTTGGTCGAGAGTTTGACTCTTGCTGTCCTTCCACATTCTTTCCGCGCAAAGTTGAAATTTGTCTCTCAAGTTTACCAGACCATGTTTTGTAAGAGTCAAACCTTGAATCCCTTTGCTTAATGATCTTGGGATTCCTTGATGGGAAGTCTGAATAGCTGAGAAGTTTCCCCATAGCAGGTGCCTCAGGAAATGCAGTATGTCTTGGCATTGTCTGAGAATAAAACTTGACCTTTTTGTTACGTCTAGTACTATTATCGGTTGATGTAGTAGCCGAATCAGAAGAACCAACATTGCTGAATATAATCTCATTATTATCACTGAAAACAACTCTTTTTTGAATTGGTGGTGAGTAACCTGCCAAAGGAGAGGGTGGCAAACTAATGGAAACCGAATGCTTCCTTCCATGCTGTCGTTCAGTAGCAGCTTCAGTTACCTACAAAGATCAATAGAGAGTATTATTAGGCCAGGTGAAATGTTAGCAACGTATTAAAAATAGGCGTAGTTACATGTAAGTCCAGCAGCAAACTTGCAACGGTTGGTGAAATTAATCTGCAAATGAATTCCCAACACAATATTCATTTCTACTAGTTTTTCTTTTCTTAACTTGTAACATTTCAGAGGCTAGTTTATCCTCACTAAAGGTAGCAACTTTTGACCTCAAGAGAGTCGAAAAATTAGGCTTTTAAGGTAATTTCTGATGACGTTAATCTATAACTGTACATTATAGGCACATCTTGGCTCATAATGAACTAGGAAGTTGAGGCTGCTAGAAAGTAAAACCGTACAACCTTAGTCGAGTGGTCATTCTTACATACATGAGATTATAAATTGTAAGCATAGTAAAAAGGCACAAACAATTGGAAGATGTGATGATTCATCTAGATTGTTGATAGAATCGAGTAGAAATGAAGAATGCAGCCTTACTAAGAAGAACGACTTACCACGACAGGTGAGTTCTCAAAACTAGATCCTGTTAGCTCAAGTTGATTATCTACTATGATGCCAAAGTCATCCATTTCATCGGAAATAAATTTGATAAGAGATGGAAGTACTTCATTTGTAGCAGAATTAGTTATTTCACTTGTTTCCATGGCTATATATATATACTGCAGGAAACAATAATCTTATTAGTAAATATGTGCTACAAACACAGGAAAGATAAACATTAATTTCGTTCGTATGCAATTGAAATGTAGACCTTTGATCAGCCACAGTACTTAGATTGAATGAAGCTCTTTCTTGTAGCACCAAAGGATGTAACTTTTCTCTCTAACGACGAAGAAAGATCGATCAAGGTCAACTAGTAACAACCAAGATTGAGAGAAAAAACACAAGTCTGCAAGACACATGAAACATTATATATAAATAGGATGATTCATGCTAAGTTCTTGGAAGCACACATCATATTTTTTATGGATACAGCTGCCATGTATGAAGATAATATCCCTTTTAGTTAAAAGAAAAATGTAAACAATATGAAACCAAGAGAAATGAAAAATAGCAGGTACAAGCTTGAATATTTGTCTTCCATTGTCTTGACACATTTGACTGCTAATAAAACAGAACAACATGTACATTGTTGATACACATTACGATAGTATTCATTAATTTAGAGGGTAGGCTTACCTAGAGTAAATCTAAATTAGTCGAATCAAATGTAATAATTTATATTTATGTCCTTTTTGTAAGTAAAATTAATGAAGTCATGAATTTCCACTCACATATAGTTTTGGCTACCCACTCATATCTAATTTTATTAACAGAAACACAACGGAGGTTCTCGACAGAATAATTTACTTTAGAATTCTCCAAAAAAGCGAGTAATAACATAACGTAATATAATATAAACCGACCTATTAATATCAAAAGGATTCATAATTATTATTTTTTATAATATAAAAATAGAAACCAATTGATAGTATTAATTAAACAAAATAAGAGCCCCCACTAATTGATTGATACTCCAATATATTTTTCAGCTTCCATATAAAATACACATACACACAAAAAGTGATATGATATAAAATTCCAGGCTCACAATGATATATATTTTTTTAGCTGCATTAAAAATTATATATATATATAGAATGAAGAAGGAACATGAGGAAATCAAAAGTCAAATTGTTATTTATATTAATAAAAAAAATAGACGGCCTGGAATAAAGGAAAGCATCTTTAAGCCGTCGATTAAATGACTGCCTAGCACTAATTATACACCAAACCATTAAAATGATACATCTTTAAGTCAAACACGACAATATATGTGTAATGTATTGAAAGAGCCCCTCCATACTATATACCATGACTCAAATTCATAATTTTAGAGGTAGTTCAATACGTATATGGATTATAATTTATGGACTAATTTATTCATCTCGAAGATGAGATAAAACAATCTCAATCACCAACAAGGATTGTGATGGAGTGGTAAGTATTCCTTCATCCTTAACCAAGAGGTCTAGGGTTCGATTCCCTTTGAATACGGAGTCGCCTTTGTTAGGGAGAGCTTATCCCCCAATGTGGAACTTCCCGGCGCGAATCCGGATTTAGTCAGGCTCCAATGTGGGTACCGAACATCGATTGGAAAACAAAATAAAAAATAAAAAAATCTCAATCTAGAATATGGAATATCTTACTTATCCCTAATACCAAACGATTTCTTAAGGTTAATAGTGAAGGATATTTACCATTTAAGCAACCTCGATCGTCTAATCAGATGGTTCATTTGGACAATCACAACTTTTAACTAATTCTTGAGATGATCACTGGCATGAAGGACCATATAATTAAAAGTTCAATTTCTATAAACTGAGATTGTATAAAGAATAGTTTCTTTACACTATCAATGGCCTTAAAAGAATACTATATAAAGAACTTCGGACAAATAAGGCAAATAACCTATTATAACATGTTAAGTTTATTACAAACTTTTTTTAGACTTATGTCCTTTTATAAAAGATGTTTTACTTTTACACATAAAATGTGAAAAAAGTTTTTTTTTTTTATTTAAATCGTAAAAGGTCAAGAGATCTCATTTTCAATCTTTTAACTTGCTAAAGCAATTTTTGATTATTTTTTTTCCCCTTTTAATTGTGTACATTTTCTTGAGAATGCATCAAAAATGCATATTCAGGCAGAGTTTGAATTAATAAAAATCAAGAATTCACATTTCTGCATGAACTGCGTCCAAAATAAGTTTGTACAATGAATGTACTACTGAATTTCCACTTTAATTTAGTTCTAGGAACCGCATTTCTTTCGCCGTAATTTACTTTAAAATATATAACTTAAAATCATTAAAATATTACAAGTGTGATTAATTATAAAGAAAATAACGAAATAATAGCAGCAGTAAGTGTAAGATGGTTCATTAGGGCTATCGACGGCTTTTCTTGAGATTATGACCAATCGAAAAAAGAAAAAGAAAATTCATTGGCGGCGCAGTAACGTAACTTTAACTTTTTATAGTCACTTAATATTTAATGACATGTTTACAACTATAAATTTCGAAAAATTATATCATATATTTATGATCACAAATTTCAAAAATATTATTTTATTTAATTAAATATTATATATCAACTCAAACTATAACAATTAAACAAAGTAATTATATAGTTAATCCTAATAGGATCTTAGCTGTAGGTTTAATCCTAGGAGCTGCACCGTAATTTAAGTACGTAAAACAAGGGAAAACATGTTGTCTATAAGTTAAACACGCAAATACAGGTGTATGCTTTAGAGACGGAGAATAAAATAATACTGTATTGAGTTTGGTAATAATTTCGAAAAAGATAAGTCAACATAAGATTAGAGGCGAATGTAGCTTTTTAGCTATACGTTTAATCTAATCCAGCATTTTATATACGGGGTCATTTGTTTTTGTGCCAATTACAAGAAAAGAAAACAAAGGTTTTATCTTAAATCTCTCATGAGATCTTATCTTAATATGCAAATTGTAAAGAATTAATTTCGAATATAGTGTGACTTTAATGTTAAGAACTTTAAAAGTCGAGTTTATCAAATGCGTACCTTAACAAAGTTGAATGTGAATTCCTTCGTACGATGACCAAGTCTAACACTGGAATCTGAAATGGGCTGGCTGTAGGCTGGAAGTCATACAGTAGAAATGGAAATTAAATGAAAGTAATATTTGAATACAATAAAATTATGTGTTGTTTCTGTTGGAGAAAGAGAGTTATGAATCGTGTGGCGAATTCAAAATTTAGGTGTGAATTTTGAATTGCGATAGTAAATTCTGAAATGTATAGATATTTAATTATATTTATATTTGATTTTCATGACCTTAAAGCACGGGATTATGTTAAACGGTGAACTCACATTTGTATACATCTGCGCGCTACTTGTAATGAGTCAAATTCTTCTATGCATCTCCAAGCCATAGATTTAATTTCCTTATATTTTGCCATTTTATTCAAAAAGTTTAAAGGAGATAGCATAACAAATTATTTGCAATTAGATCAATTTAATTTATGTGTTCAAGGGGTCTTACAAAATTTTCCATCATTTTACGAGAAGAAATCATCAACTATGAACCACTAAACCCTATTGATTTGTAAGAATCTCAAACAAGAAAGTTCACGTGACAGTACGTGTGTCATATTTTTGTGGATTGTTAGCGTCTAGAAGGGTCTTGACTATTAAATTGTGAAGTTGAGGGAGGTAATTAAGTCAACATAAATTTTAGATTTTCACAAAGGTTAGTTTTGACCTATTGAGAGTTTAGACTAATATTAATGAATGTATTATGTATCTCCAAACATCTAACATTTGTATAGACCTCATACATAGTTTTTTACCTTCTTTTTTCTGTTTGATACTATCACAACTTAAATATGTGTTTCAGTTATAAGTTTAAGGGAAAAAGACAAATCTACTCTAAAACTATCGTAAACGATATACGTATATCATTTGTTATACTATTAAGACATCAACATCCTTACCGTCCAAAATGTAGAGCATATCTATCCTTTACACTAATGTAATCCTATGCTTCTATCCATCAGTAAACAAAGCTGCATAGGGAGTGACTTGTTCTTCCTTGTGCACACTTTTGGTTTCTCTGTTTTATTACTTTTTGTTGTTTTTATTTCTTTTTTACTATATCTTTTAATTCCCAATTGGCTGTGGATTGTCAAAATTGGAAAAGATGAACTTATAATTGGATTTTACCTTGGTGTGATCCATTTATCGTCAAAATAAACAAATTGGAATATAAGTGTACAGTTACTTTTAAGTATACAAACTCAATAAATTAAAACAAATAGAAAACTACATTCCTGAAAATTGTAACTCTTTTATACAACAATATTGTATATGCAACTGGCTTCCACTTCCTTTCTTGTCTCACATCTTTCATGCCTCACCTCCAGGCTTTCTATCAAATAACAATGGAGGCTAATGCAATCGATGTACCGTGAAATCGAACCTACAATAGTTCGTACATTTTGTACATCATTCACTACTAAGTTACCACTCTTAGATATTTCAACAATGGTAAACTCTAAGTATTAGACTAGAACCCAATCACCCATATTAACCTACATATATACTTGTATTTTCGTCCTACTCATGCCATCAATGACTAGTCTGACACAATCAGAGGCGGAGCCAAGTAGGATCGAAGGGTTCATCCAAATCCCCTTTGACAGAAAATTACATTGCTTATATCAGTTGTCATTAAAAGTTTTGCTAGTATCTATGTTAAAACAATGGTTCCCCCGTGAGTTTCAAATCCTGAGTCCACTATGGGTAAGGATATGCTTATTTTATCACCACGTAAAAATAAATATTGTATGGTAGTGGCAAAAAAAAATCTTTACCCTTAAAGGACAAGGTGCAAAAGAATTTTTTCAAGAAGTTGTTCCATCTCGAATTCGATCAAATACCTAGTTACAAATTCATTTATTCCCTTTTCTAAAGGTACTTTTTGAAAAGAAAAAAAAAATCCAGGATAACATGATTACATTTTGATGCTTTAACATAACATCACTACACTTGGAGTAAATAGACCATCTCAGAAAAGACACCACATCATCGTCAAACCATTTCATGTTTTTG